AGCAGGAAAATTTCCAAGAAACTGAGGGATACAAAAACCTCCATGAAGAACGCTCGCATGCTACCACAGATACCATATTCTGGAACGCCTTGAGAGAAAGATACCCAGCCTTCGATACCGCTCTCGAGGAATTCGACGCTATATACCAACGTAGGGACACTTGGGAGAATCACGACCCCCCCAGTGTCGAGATCATCGAAGGAGAACAGGGGAGGCCCCCGAGGCGAACTAATGCACACAATCGCCTAGAATTCAATTGGAATCTAAGAAGCCCTCGAAGGGGTGAGTACAGACATGACTACGAACCACATCGAGGCCACAACAACATCGAGGGCGACTATGACCAAGAATACCATCACCAACCTCGATATTCACCTCCAAGACAGCAGCAACATAATCGGCATAGAGAAAATCTTCCATACTTCCAGGGAGAGATCAGCAAGGAACAAGAGACCAGAATACCTTAATCCGAGAGGAAATGAGAAAGATCATCGGGATAGGGCTAGACCGGAGCCCCTTCATCCCCAGCATTCGAGACGAACCTAAGCCCCGAGACCTCGACTTCCCTAAAGAATTCAAGCCATATTCAGGAGATACCGGTGTCTCTCAATGGCTGCAAGGGTATGTCCAAGTCATGAGAATCTGAAACGCAACCATGAACTTCATGGCAAAGGCGTTACCCTCATACTTATCCGGGTCAGCACAGCAATGGTTTGGGCAATTACCGGAAGGAAGCGTCACCAGTTTTGAAGATTTGTCCGTCAAATTAGCTACTCAATTCTTCCAGAGCAAACGGATATCGCGGATGTCCATCGACCTTTCCTCAGTCAGACAAGGACAGCATGAGAGTCTAACCGACTTTCAAAGACGGTTCATACAAGAAACCATGCAAGTCGACAACATCCATGATCGAGACGTCCGCAATGGATTCATCCAAGGCCTTAACCCCTTCGGAAAATCCTCAATGTTGTGAGTTAAAATCTTGACCAAACCCCCTAGGAACGCTCAAGAGATGTGGGCCATCGTCGAGAACCATATACAACGAGAACACACACTTAAGAGGTCCCAAGAATCCTTCGCCTCGGTAGGACCAAAGGATAAGCCGAGAATTCCCCAGGAAAACAAACCGGCACTGCCCAAGATGGATAGGCAATTAATACCCTTAACCAAGCTCCGACGAGAAATCCTCCAGATCCATAGGGACGAATTGCCAGCTCCGAAACCCTTGGCACCCAATCCAAACAGGTCAACTGATCAATATTTTGAGTATCACAAAGACAACGACAGGCGAACACTCTTTACAACCATATAGTCGACAAAGAATTCCATGTTGCACCCATCTGGTACTGAACATTTGATTGGCCATCCATTGGTACGTAGCTCCAACATTCTTTAGTCTAAATGGCGTCTTCTCATAGCAGTAGATTCCACGCTCAATGATGAACACGATCTTCTCGATGTCCTCTTCGGCCATGAGGATTTCGTGATACCCCTTGTAAGCATCGAGAAAGCATAAGACCGGATATCCCGCTATAGCATCAACCTTCTGTTCAACGGTGAGTAGGGGGTAACAATCCTTTGGGCAATGCTTGCTGAGGTCGGTAAAATCTATACACATTCTCCATGATAAGTCGGGCTTCTTCACCATAACTGGATTGGCCAACCAGGTCGGGTAGAGCATTTCTTGAACCACGCACGCGACCAATAGCTTGGCAACCTCAACATCAACTGCTGCGCTCCTCTCCGGTGCCATCTTCCTCTTTCTCTATTGAATTGGACGTGTGCTAGGATCCATATTGAGACGATGGATACCTAGCTCCACGGGGATCCCTGTCATGTCCGAAGGCTCCCACGCAAAGACGTCCTGATATTCCTGAAGTAGCCGAATCCCCATCTTTTGGAGGCTGGGGGGCAGGACGCGTCCAAGTTGGATAATTCGACCCTCCAAGTATGCATTGATAGGGACGGCATCGTACTCCCCATCATGCTCCACGGCCTCCACTCCTGGTTCCTTCGTCTGCACCTTGGGTCGTTGAGGAGCCGACTCACAGACCATATTGACTTCCGGCACCTTCATCATCAGCACTTTTCCTTTCTTCATTGCGACGACCATGCACTGTTTGGCCATCTAGGGATTTTCTCGAACCTCTCTTATTCCGGCTGGTGTTGGAAATTTCATGACCAGATGCTAGGGGGAATAAACAGCTTCGGTTTTGCACATCTAGGGTCGACCCAATATGATGTTGAAAGTGGCGACCACGTCCACCACAGCAGAGTCGCACATCACTATCTTTAACCGATGTTGGGTTCCTACAGTCACAACAAGGGTAACTACACCTAAGGGCATAATCATATGATTGGAGAAACCTACCAACGACGTCGGAGCTGGTTGAAGTGTAGCTCGATCAAGACCGAGCCTCTGGAAGCAGTCGTATTACATGATGTCCACCGAGCTCCCGTTATCCACGAACACGTGTCGCACCACACGATTAGCGATGACGGCCTCAATTTCGAGCGCATCCGACCCTTCACCTGCATTGAGGACAACATCTTTGTCGGAGAACGTGATTTCTTCCGAAACCTTTACCCTTTTTCTAACATCTTCTCTTGGGGGACGGGGTCGAGCATCACGTTTATCCCTGACATACTCTGAACAGCAAGGCATGCCCCGAATATAGCCCCCAAGGGGGCGGCTGAGATTTTCTGAGCATGCGCCTCGTCTTCTGCCAATCTGTTGCCTCGACCTCTACCTTTACGGGCTGGTTCTTGGCGTCGTTCTTCTTCCATTTCTGGTTCTGCTTGTCTTTAAAGCCCGCATTGCCACCTCTGCTTTTCTTGACGTATTGCTGGCATTTGCTAGCCTGAAGTCCGTCCTCGATCTGCTGCTGGAGGTCTTAACAATCCTCGGTATCGTGACCCTTGCCTTGATGATAATGACACCATTCGTCGGAGGACCCTATATTCTTCATCCTCGAGGGAGTCTTAAACTCACCCTTCTGGATCTGCAAGATTTCTTTTTCGGTCTTGATGAGTGGAGTCATTTTGGCTTTATATTTGGGGGCATTGTTGGTCGACCTCCGCTTTTTAGGCTTCTTCTCCTTCCTATCTCCTTGGAAGGCTTCTCGAGCTCTCCAGAGTGACTCCTCCTTGCGGACCTCCTTCTCGACTGTCTCCCAAAGTCTTTGGGTGCTCTCGGGTTGCTTTTCCATAAGCTTCCCCCAAGCGCAGGCCCCGACCCGAAGGGAGAAAGACCATTGAAAAACTCAATTCGAACAACAAGGTCGTCGATCGTCATCAAGTCCTTGTTAAACCAGTCATAATATTGGAACAAAGTCTCATTCTTCCCTTGGCGTATGGACACCAGCTCGTGGATGGTCTTGGAAGTCTTCTTACTTGAAAGAACCAAATATGGAGCATCCGTCTCATCTCATGGAAGGAACAAACACTACCCGGAGGCAGACTATCGAACCACGTCTTAGCTCTGTCGGTGAGGAAAGTTGGTAGACCTTTTGCCATAAGTTCCCTTGACGCTCCTCGAAGATCCATGGCAGCCATGTAGTCGGCCTAGAAACTAACTGGGCGAGTATCTCCACCATACTTCTTGATATCTTTGGGCAACCTTAAGTTGTCAGGCTTGGTGCATATCCGAATGTGCTCTGCAAAGGGACTCTAATAGATCTCCTGTCCTCCGAGAATAGCCTCCAATCTTGGGTCAAGTCCCGGAATCACAGGGGGTCAACTCTCATCCACCACTGGGGTGACAAGCCGTGGAGTTTCTCTGACACTGGGGCGTTTGGTAGCGGGCTCATCCCTTCTTTCTTCAGACTGCTGGTGTGACCTGCGCTTCTCTCCCACATGCTGCAGACTGGTGCTCCGACCTCGATCCTTCCTCCCGTAGTAGTACTCCTCAAACCAACAAATCTTCTTTTTGACCTCCGGATATTTTTCGGACAGGGCTTTCCAAAAATCTGGATCATGACTATGATCGGAAGGTCGGGGTGATTTAGCAGCCCCGGATGGTTGATGGAAATGTCGACACTCACGGCCCCCTCCCTTATCATGAGGAGAGTAACCGCATCTCCGCTCCGAGTGTCTCCGCGAGATGGCTTCCCCGTCTCCAGTCCGGGACGCACGGTCGTTGCCCCGCTCCTTCTCGGGGGTCCTCCTTGGTGAATGCCGGGCCGACTCTCTCACCATTTCAGACCTAACAGTAGGGCGTCGGCTAGTGCCTTCATCAGGTCTCGCCCTAGTAGACACCATAACTCTCATAGAGCTCTTGGGCTCACCCTCGACCAAGTATATGCCTCCTCACAATCGGCGCCAAAAGCAAATCCCGATGGTGGCGAGTCAATGGTCAATTACGACGGAGACCTGCAAGAAAAGGGTTAGCACTATGATGCCAAAGTTAGTCTAGTGAGAGAAAATGAAATAAATACATACTTAGAGAGAAAATGAGAAGTGTGAATTAACTCCATAAAATGAATGTCTTGAAGTATATATAGTTCACTATTTAAGAAGTGTCCAAAAGAGGGACCTATGTGAGACCCATATAAGACCCATGTATATTTTGGGCTGTTGGGCTTGTTTCTGTAAAAGCCTAATTGGATCTTTAAATGAGCTGCATTAGGAAATTGTTTCATCAAATATATAGTCAATTTAAGAGAACCAATTTCGATAATTTTTGTGCAGTTTGAATTCACATTTCTTGTACTAAATTTCATGATTCAATCTATTAAACTAAAAATCCAATATGGACACAATCATTTTCGGAAATGGGTAATATACATGAACATCAGAATTACATCAATATACATATATATATATATATATATGTGTGTGTGTGTGTGTTCATGTACATCAATTTAATCACACATATCGTACAAAGTTCCCAACGTCAATTGCATGCAATGAAGAAATTTGTAAAAAAAAAAAAAAAAAAAGGAATAGTAATCTTTTAGAAAAAAACACATGTTATAAATGTTAAATTTGAAAAATGAGTATGAATAAATACGATTCTTTTAATAATCTATACATGTTTCTTACACAAAGACCAAGCTACTTGTTAAGCTCTCTTTACTTAATTTATTTATTTATTTGAGTAAATGTCTTACAGATAACATGATGATGATGAGATAGTTAAATCTAGGTTAACATGACTTCTGTCTTTCTTATTTGATTGTAATAGGAAATCGAAGCCATTGTTTAAATCACTTGAATTGGAGATGAGATGATCATCGAATGACCATAATCTTTTGTACTCTCCACAATTATCATCTGTTGCTTCGTTCATAAATTCAGAAATTTCACTCCGATTTTCAATCTCCACATCAGAGTGAATATCATCTTCCTTGCCTTCTTCATTGATCACCTGCATTAACACATTTCTTCTTTATTATTTAAGTATATCCTTATCTATCTAGAAATTGGATTCTATTTAATTTACACTAAAAGTTGAACTCACCTTTGCATTGTAAATGGCTTGGCTTCTTGTTTCTATCATCGTTTCTTTCTCTGTTTGGCTTTTCCCAATGAATTCCCTGCTGTAAATAATTCCCATGTTGGAAAAGAGTGGGAGCATGAGTTAATAAATGACAGGAGAACTCTGGTATGGATTTTATTTAATCAAATGTATGTTTCTTGGTCAAAAGAAAAACTAATATGGATTTTATTATTTATTTTCCAAGGCAAGTTAATTTACTTTTTAATTATATGCAAGTCAAAATAATCATTTATCTAGTTTGTTCGCACTTTATAGAATAACAACATTTCTCCGTACCCCCCATCATATAACATCTGCACGATAAAGTCAATACCCGCTGGACATTATACATGCTAAAAAGAAATAAAATGTAACATTAGTGTAAAATTTTTCCCTTTCCTAATATCAACAAAAAGGGCCGAGTTTGAAATACCCGTTCTGCATCCGATCCCAAAGAAACACTGATGTTGTTACTGAAAAACGTGGATGGAGAAATTTTTTTTTTTTTTTCATGACCGTTTTAAGGGGCAATTATTTTGTCATTTAATTCAACGAATATTATTTCGAAACTGGAAATTAGAAATCGAGCAATGCGAAAGGAAACAAAAACTTGAAGCAACAGAATGAGTACATTTTGTGGGTGAGGTACTTTGTTGTTTCGAATGTGTGTCCTTACTTTGAATTTCGATATAGTTCAGCTCATGGTAAATGGAACTCAAAATGAAAGCAAAGCTATTTGAATGCATTAGAATGCCTTTACTAAACCTGGAACCAAATCATTTTAATTAGATAATGATGCGTTTTCCTTTTTTACAAAAACCATTTCAAAACGTTCATTTAATTCACACACACACGCTCGCAAGTAGCTATACGGGCTTCATTTATTTATTTTTTTTTCGTAGATTATGACCTAAAATGAACAAAAAGTACTAGTAACATACCTTGGAGGGGACCAAGCGATTTCCTCGTCTAGCAGTTTATTCTCAATTGGTAGCGTTAGGTTAATTGTGGTCCTTTTCTTCGTGGTTCGATACATCTAGCGAATATTTTAACGTTAGCTTACTTGGATAAAATTGAGTAAATCACAATGAACAGTAATGAAACTCACTTTAAAACTATCGAATTTAATCTGAATTCCACTTATAACAGAACCAAACAGGTTTCGTATACACGTTTACCTGAGGTGCATTAATTGGTGTAATGTTTGATTTAATGAACAATAAATAAGATGTTCTTATGTGATCACATTCAGAAGTCTTAAAAAGATGCATGATCACAATTTTCGATAAAAGTGTACAAATTAATTAACGTACGTGCGGTAGTGTAATAGACATACAAAAAAAAAATAATTAGAAAAAATGACAAAAACGATGTTTCTTGTTCCAAATCGCAGTTTTGTTTCATTAAAGGAAACATTGATGTGTATCACAATAATCACCATCTCATGGCCATATATATTTTCACTAGACGTTTTCCTTTTATTATATGTAATTCAGAATGCAAAACTACATTTTAAAAATGTTCTACTATATTAGAAAGTTGGGAAAATTTAGTAAAATACCTTCACTAAGTGTTTCCAGGCAGAGCCTAGCGTAGGTAGTAAGTCTACACTTGATCTAACCTAAACTTTTAGCTTTATTCTCTTTATTGATTTTTTGGTTTTGTTTTGTTTTTGTTTTCTTCTTTCGGGTATAAGGGCTCCCACAACTATTATTGTCAAATTATAGCTCTAAGTCATATTTAAGTGTTGATCCCTTTATTCATTAACTTGAAATCTCTTATGAGCAATTTTATTACCTTATCAGTTTGTACATAGAAGTATAAAAGAAAATATATGTTAATCAAACACAAATTTCTGTAGAGCTTTCTTCTGCTAGCTAGCTTCTCCATTTCTATTGTTATTTAAGTACGAAAGTACATTATGAATCCACCCAGAAAGCTGATACATAAAAATTTCTTCAGAATTTTTAAATTTCCTAGAGTATTATAAATTACTAGTGTAAAATCTGGTACCTTATAGCCATGTATGAATTCCACAGATCAACTGGATATAGAAATCAAGATCCGATTTAAAACTTGTACCAACAATTATGATGAGAAGATAACAAAAAGAATGTGTTCGAAAAAATTTTAAAATCGCAATAACAAGCAAAGAAAGATCCAAAAATAACATATATGATTAACTAAGTGGATTTTATATACCTGCAAATGACTTTTAACATGAGACATCTCAAGTCCTCTTACTCCCATCACTTGCACAATTCTTCTCGGTGTTGCTTCTGCAACAAAAAAAAAACAAAAAATAAATAAAAAGAGAAAGTTGTTAATGATGGATAAATCAGAGCAAAACACGCGAGTTGGCCCTTTGTAACATTAACCGAACTATTGAACTTTTGGTCATATTTCTAGGATTTTGCCCTACTGAACTTGTAGTTTGAAGGGGAAAAAGAACAGGAAAGAAAGTATGGGATTGATCATCTGAAACAGGAAGATAGGAAAGAAACTAAGTCTAGAGAGCAAAATCAAAAGATCGATCGTGGATGTGATTAATTTAATCGAAAAGAGGTAACTCTTCCATACGATTAATTGCTTCGAATTACGACTACTAAAGAAAATCTGTGTCTTGCATGAATTGATACTTACTATGTTTTCCACCTAGGTTTTCTACAGCTCGAACAAAGTGGTCATGGAGTTCCGGCGTCCACCGGAGACGAGGAAGATCAGATTTCTTGTAGTGCCTAACAGTACCTGCCTTGTAAGACATCACCATCTGAACTTCAAGTTTGTACATGATGAGAAAGAAGGCCAGTATTAAGATAGATATATAGGTAGCTAAATGTATAGACCATCTACCACATGGAAGAATTAATAGATAAGATGCTTTTCTTGGCATTAGACTTTTGTTATTGCCTCCGCAGACTTTGTTACAACATTCTCAGTTGCCAGCCCACAAAAGGGAAAAAAAGGAATGAATCAACTAACTTGTTGTATAATTGTTTAATTATTAGTTTGAAATTTTGTCACGTTTGATTAGACTTTTTTAAATATACAACTAGTGATATACATTTTGTTGAGGGATTGCCTTCTAGTTTACTGTTTTTCTGGACTTTCAAATCTCAACGTTTGGACGGGGTGTTAGGTAGCTTATGTTTGGAAAATTTCCATACTATAATTCAATTCTAAATGACGGTGTCAAGACAATTTTTTTTTTAAAAAAAAACCATGAATTCTGCCAATTTGAAGCTAAGTGTATGGTTAAAAGACCGATAAATAATAATCTTCTGTCAGAAATTATTGTTCAGTTTGAATTTTATTTTTTATACAAATTCAACTAAAAGTGAAACTCAAACTTATATTATTGAGAGAAAAGGAAAATATTTTATCCTCTCAATTATGTGTCAATTTGTTTTGAATTGGATGCCTCGGTACATAATTTTGTTTACAATTCTCGCTTCTGCCTTTGATGTTTGAACTTCGTTTCTTGGTTCCACTATGTTTGAACAATTCATTCAATGCAAAATATTTATATCAAGGAGTATCCATGCTTAGAATTTTTCGAATCAGGAATCTTATAGTTGGACCAGTTATACATTTTTTTGGGAACGCTGGGAATCCACTAGAGATAGAACTCACGCCCACTGTAATAGCATGTAAATTATAGTGGTAGGTAAACCACTCTAGGCAAGTTCGGGTTGATAAGTTCGGATGCAAAATCGGAAGTTTATTAGTGGATTAGCCATAACAAGCTCCTAGAGGTGCCAATAGGTAAGGTGAGAGCCAATCCCTCACTTTTTGTTGAAGTGTGATATTGAACTCATAACCTTCTCTTGGAGCAAGGGTGATTTTATCACTGAACCAAGTCCTCATTCACGACTAGTTATATATTATCTTGTAATATACTACATCGATTAATATTCGTTCATTTCTTCTTAGATAATATAATAAGTATAAAAACGAGATTTTTATTTAGGCTTGCGAGAGTGAGATGTTGTGCTTGACAATGTTTCTTAACTAGTTGGGCTTAACAAGATCTACATCTGCCAAACTTTGTCCATGTACGTATCTAGCTGGACTTTTTTTTTTTTACCACGTTTCTATAAAGGGACCTCCTCTTTCTCATATTAACCAAAAGTAATTATATGACATGATTAAAAAAAAAAAAAAGGCTACCACGGGAATCCTAAAGGTTCTCAATAATTAATCTCAATCCACTTCAAAAGTACAAAAAACTTTCCATCATGCAATCGTCTTCAAAAGGGATTATCGTTTGTTATTTTAAAAACAAATTCATGCAATGTTTCTGATTACATTTGATTTGTTTTCTTCGAAAAGACATTGATCATCTTAAGCCCTTTTGGACACGTTTTGAGGTGAGGGTTTTCTGATCTTGCATATATGGTTCTGATTTTCTTTCATTCCGTGCATTCAAGGAAACAGGCAAATGAATTATATGTCATTGTCTGTTGTCATTTCTTAAGCACGTTTTGAGATAAGGGTTTGTGAATGAAGAAGCTGAATAAAGAGAACATGATTGGTGTTTCATGACATAACGTCATGGCTTCGGTAACGTCAATTGTTGAATAGATGAAGAGATAAGTTATAGTCAAAACAAGGAATAAATGCCATACATATTCAATTGAAATGACGAAATTCATTTTTTGGAAAAAGACAGAAGGCCATTGTACGGGTACTAAATTCAACCCGTGTTATGTATATGGTTTGAACGAGCTTTTTCAATATATACTATTATTTTAGTCCTCAATTTCGGTTCCCGTAGTCCATTGATGCATATGTTTGAGAAAGGATTGCTTTATTTTCAAGAATAAAAATACAAAAAAAGTTTCTTCTTACAAATAAGTTCAGGATTGAATAAAATGATTTTAAAAAATATGTCTAATAAATAAGACCCAAACAAACAAGATTTATTTATTTGGTTACCAATGAAAATGTTATAATTAACATCGAAGACTATCTATTACGCATATTACAGCCTATAAGGTTTTGCTATACTAGCAAATTTACAAAATTTGGGATAACATCAAAAGAATATAGGCCAAGTGGATGCTTTATGCCTGTTTTGCTAAGGAATTCGCTTAGTCATCTGCGTGAGTAAGATTTATTTACATTTGTTTGGTGACTAGAATTTACAATATTTCAAACCCTAGTTAGCTAGGAAAAGTAGCATTATCTTCTTCCAATTATTTACTCAAAAAACAGCAGTTAAAGTTCCATCATCGCATATAAATGGCCGGAAAGTAAAGTAAAACAAATTTCAGTCAATTGGATCTTTAATAGCAATTGCTACTTATATGTTTTAGTTTTCTTTTCGGGTATATCTCAATAATGTCTATCTGTTTCTTTCTTTAACATCATTTTCGTGTTCAAAAAAAGACGGTGCCTACCTCTTTGGGGACCCCAATATTGGCGGTGTGTGCTGCCGTGTTCAATACTAAATTCTCTTTCATTCCAAATATTCAATTTGACTGGAAAACATAAATGAAGCAACTTTCATATCAATCACCGCTATACATGCTTGTTTTTTATTCAAACAAATCGACATTTTCTGTCTGATTAAAAAGCAACAGTTTTCCAAGTGCGTCTTTAAAATCTATGAAAGACCCATATGTTTAAAAGTTACTTTTCATCATATATTTATTGATAATCGGAAAAAACCTAGAATACTTTTATTCTTTAAAGAATAAAAGTGGAATCCATTCGAAATCTCCATGTAATAAGATTTCTAAATCTACAGTACGAACGCCAACAAGCACTTGATTTAATATATATATATATATATATATATATATATATATATATATATACATGTTGATCCCGGTTCGGACCACAGTATAAACTTGTACCATTGATTAAAATTCTTATTTAAAAAATTTTGTCACTTGAAACAGATATATGCCGATTTGAATTAATAGAAATTAATTGAAGTGTGAAATGTGTGCGCTTAAAATTATCTCAAGGTTTTAATTAAAAAAAGTTTAAATTAAGATATAAAATTTTAATGTATCACTTTTGTGCACTAAGATTACTAAAATACAAGAATTAAATTATTAAAACAATAGCAATATATACAGGAAAAAGTTACAAAGAAAACTTATAAAGAATGACGAGTCTATAATCTAAATTATGTTTCTTAACCTTAAATGTTTAAATTCAAATAAAAAATATAAAAATAAAGAATAAGATTTAATCAACATTATTCGTAATTCTCATTTTTCTTTGTAAATATTTCCATACATATATATAGACACGAATATACATATGTATGTTTGTATTATTACTTTTATTAAAAATGTAATACAAAGAATCGAATCGTGTCCTAATGATTAGTGCGTTATATTTTTAACTAAGATTGAGCGTTCAATTCCTACTGCAGACGCGGTAAACAGGCAATTAAAAGAGGAAGACAAGTAGCTGATCAGCAGGCATGAGGAATCATTCATCAAATGAAAATTGTTGAGAACCAAATACTACGTTACCAAAATGCGAAATACTGAAAAATCAAACCCTGCCTTCCTTTGCAGCAATGCAAGGTTCTAAGAGATCTCTAGTTCTAACCAAGTAGCTAGCTAGCAGATGACACGATACAAAAATGCTATTTTTTTCGTCTCAAAATGATTTTTCAGGTTTGAGTTTTATTTTTAGTACAAATTATATTTACAGTGGAAAGTCAAACTGAACATCAATTTTGTGACAATGGGGGGAGTAATTTAATGATGAAAAATAATAATGCTACTAACAAAGCTGAATGAGCTTTTGTTGACTTTATGTATTTTGGTAAAACGCCTTATTAATGACATGATGATGAGATGGTTAAATCTAGGTTAACGTGCCTACTTCCCTTACTACAAGATTTTAGGAAGAAGTCAAAGCAATTGTTTAGATCCCTTGAATTGGAGATGAGAAGATCATTATCAAAGGAGCATAGGCTTATGCGCTTTCCGCAATCATGAAATGTCGTTTCGTTCATATATTCAGAAATTTCGCTCTGATTTTCAATTTCAACATCAGAATGAACATCTTCCCTGGCTTGAATCACCTGCATTATTACAATAATCATTAATCAATTAAGTACAAAATTATTATACATTTGAAAATAAAATTCTATTAACGTAAAAAAATGGATTTCATATCTATCACCTGCAAATTGTACATGATTGGGATTTTGATTTGTTTCTTCTTATTCTTCCCTTCTTGATTTTTATCAATAAACTCCCTGCAAGAAATATTGCCCATGTCAGTACCTAAAGGCAAGTTTAATTTATTTAATGCCTATATAGTACTCAATGTGGCCAATTTTTTTTTAGACAAACATGTGACATCTGTGTCATATATTTCTCGATCTCCAAATACCAATGATTGAGCCAAAAAAGAATGTAGTTTGAAATCCCCAAAATAAAAAAGTTCACGGTTTATTGAATTGATTTAATTATAGTAATTCAATAAATACGGGTTTTTTTCCTTTCTTTTCCTCTCTTAATAAACGTGAAAATATATATATTTTTCCCTTCCGTGACTGACCCAAAAGAAAAAGTTCCTTTTGTTGAATTAAATTAGTTCAATTTAGAGGACTGCTTTCTGGAGCAAATTAAGGGGGACAAAAGATGTAAGTTCGCTATTTTGTTCACAGCAGTGTGCATGTGTATTTTATTTTGACTTTAACTAGTTAACTCACGGTACCATTAAAAGATGAAAAAGACAATAACGAATGCATTATGCATTCGATTGCCTTTACGGAACCTGGAACTTAATCATTCGTACAAATGACAGGCTTTCCCAATTTCAGAAAACATTTCAAGTCCATGTAAGTCACACACGCACAAAATGCACTATATTCGAACCAGTTTCATGGATTGTGACCTAAAAATGAGCTAGAAGTAGTAATTACATACCTTGGAGGGGACCAAGCTATCTCCTCTACGTTCATCCTATTTGCAATTGGTACCGTTAGGTTAATAGTGGTCCTTTTCTTCATGCTCCGATACATCTGGCAATATTTCACGTTTTATTAAATAGGACAAAAAAATATCAGTAAAGCGTGATAAATCGTAAGGGGGAAAATACATTTTTTTGGTTTTTCTTTTCTATGAAAAAAGAAACTAAAATTGGTTTGGTTTGCAAGGTTTGCGTGATTGTCATCAAGATGCATGTTTGATTAGGCGAAGAAAAAGTGAAATGAATCTATTTTTATTTGAGCTTCACTAGTTTTGAAAACTGCCGTATTGAATACTGAATACTCCCTCCGGTCTTTGTTATAAGACATTTTGATTTGTCCCAAATTTCACCTAAGATATCTTTTTAATCGAAATAAAAATCTTAAAAACATTCTCAATAATGAGGAGAATACAACGAATGTAACAATATATTTTTAAGATTTTTTTAATTAAAAAAGACATTTTAGATATAAGTTAATACAAAATCAAAATACCTTAAAATAAGGACCGGAGGGAGTAGTACGTAGTACAAGAGAGAACCGCCAACAAAATTCCTTTCCAATTGAATCGTTTAACTTCTTCAATTTAAAGAACAATCGTTTTACCAAAACTAAGTGTACATAGAACAATGTCCGACTCCATGCAGTAAGCAAGAATATATATGATTTTTGGCTTGCATATACACTTTTAATGTTGTTTCTAGTGATTGGCCTTGGAATATAAGTATGATACTATATACAGAATTTTATTAGATGTACACTTTTTATTAATTATGCATGGATCATTACTCGTTTCTTTTAAGTAATTAACGATATAGATCGAAAGGCCTAAAACAGAATCCATGAACAACTTTCTCAGTACGCATTGGCGTTTTAATCAAAATTCAAAATAAAATTTCAAACTCCTTAAGTTGCATGCCATAGCTAGCTAGTTATTTCTACTCAGGTATGTACTAATTCCAAATTTCCAATATAGCTGGTTAAGAAAGCTAGCTAGATAGTCTTCCATAATTGATCTAGCCTAGCTACATATTTCAATCTGTTAATATTTTTGTTTTGTCTTGTTTTTGTTTACCATTTCTTTTTCTCTCTCAGTGACGCTTATGTATTGTCCTTTTTTTGGGCCTTAGGTTCAAGTATTTTTAGGCAATTTTATCATTAGTACTATTATTTTGTTATTAAAACAATAAATTACAGTAATAAAACTCAAGTTCTTTTTTTTTTTTTTGGCTTTCTAGGAAGATTTTTTTGGGGAGGGGGCGTGGGTGTTGTGGAGAGAGTTGTGTTTGTGAGCAGTGACACTGAAGTTATAAATTTCAACCAACACAAAAAGAAATCCACTATAATATGTAAAATATATTATCAAAATCATCAATTCGATGAATTTATTTATACCTGCAAGTGACTTTTAACATGAGACATCTGAAGCCCTCTTACTCCCATCATTTGCACAATTCTCTTTGGTGTTGCTTCTGCATAATGGATTAATAATTATTAGTCATCAATCATATACATATATATATATATATATATATATATATATACACTCATCAACATAATCATTCTTGAAGTCAATAAAGACTCTTTCATATGCTATGATTTAGCAAATTAACTCGAATTCGATTTCAAGTGCTTGATCGATGAGGAGAGATTACATGAAACTTACTATGTTTTCCGCCCAGGTTTTCAACAGCTTGAACAAAGTGGTCATGGAGTTCCGGCGTCCACCGGAGACGAGGAAGATCCGATTTCTTGTAGTGCCTAACACTTGCCTTGTCAGAATTCTCCATCTGATCTTCAAGTCTGTAAATGATGAAGGAATTAAAGAATGCAATAAGGTAGATATACAGGTGGCTAGATATATAGACCATCTACCCACATGAGAAATGAGGAGATAAGATGCTTTTTAGAGCATAGACTTTTGTTATAGCCTCCGCAGACTTTGTTACAACATTCTCAATTGTCACCACATAAAAGGGAAAAAAAAAAGGAATGAGACCACTAACTGAGTTTGAATTATTGTTTAATTATTAGTTTGAAAATTTATCACATTGTATTGGACTTTTTTGACGTGGCACCTAGTATCTATGGTACTATTATTCTAACTAGGATGATACTAGTTACTGAGGAATGGAATATCACTATTAAAATAAATCTCACAGGCTCATGTATTCTATAGTTATTGATTTTGCATCAGCAATCCTAACCACCCAAATACAACTCGACTTTTGAATTGGACTTTGTTCGTTCTTACAGTTTTGTTGGACTTTTTAATCTTGACCCACCGGGTGTAAGGTAGCGTATGTTTAAGAATACTAGAATTGACGAATGCTGAAAGGCAGTGTACCATTTTAATTCACTGGTTTTAATTTGTGTGTGCATAAAACCTAATTCTGTTAGCTGTTCTTAAAGAAAATCTATGAATTTGAATAAGAATTCGAGAAAATTGAAAGTGAATTTGAGATTTTTTGCAAGTTATATAAATATGAGATTTTCTTACACTCGTACGATGATTTAAACTAATGCTCCTTCCATTTTGACGTAAAAATCATACATATGTTGATGGAACTTCATGTAATTAGGGGCTGCTTATATAAGAAATAGTTTAGTCTAGCATTCTTAGTTTTTCCCTCTTTTATTTATTTATTTATTTATTTTCTTTTTTGAAGAAATAGATTCATTATATTAAACTTCCTGTAAATCAGCCAGTCCTGAATGGTACAAATAACTCAACGGGTATAACCAAGTTATATCATTTGTTACATGAGATTTAGCATAAGCAGCTATAACATGAGATACTTCAATTTCTACATGCGCAATCCAGTATATGGATCTGAAAGAGAGATCTAATAATAACTGTTTAATCTCAAACAATACTGGTAGACAAATGGATGAACAGTCAGCCTCTCCTATGGCTACTAAAACAGCTACGGAAGTAAAACTCATATGTATTGTAACCAACGAATTTTTTCTCCTTTTGTCCTAACAAAATAGTTAATTTTGAGTTTTGAAATTATATGGAAATTAGAAAGCGTTGAAAACAAAGAATTGTTGGAGGTAATTTTTTTTTTCCCTATCTAGTTCCACTTGTCCCAATAGGCTAGTGTTAAAAAAAGATCTCTTGTAAGAAGGTTGGCTAGAGATTTCTTGTAAAAGCACTAGTCATTGCCAGTTTATAATGAGAATATGCTAGTGAGGGGTTCTCCTAGTGAAGGGAATGAGTTAGTCCTTCATTCTAATTTTGGGATGCCGAGTTTACTTTGCAAGCCAATCAAGGAAGAAAAGATGGATCTTAACTACCTATGTGATAGGGAGTTGGTTCAAGGGAGCTATAATTAAGATGATGAGAATGTCATTAACTTTGGGGTTCAAACCAAAGGAGATGATTCACTCATGGAAATAAGTGCTCAAGAAGGGAGTTTGACTCTAGGTGCTCTATGAAGATCGTTGATCAAGCAAGAAGAGTCATTAGGTTCTTGAATGGGCGGCTTATTTGATCAAAGTATTCAAGATTGAGTCAATCGCTACACAATTAGATAGGGTGCAAACTATCTCAATTGTTTCAAGTGTTTTTTCCTTCTTTTGGAGTCAATAAAAAGAATTCTACAAGTTTTCGAGTAAATTGAAGTTAACTACAACTTGAGGGGCGCAAGACCAATATTCCACCTTTTGGAAGGCGTTCAAGGCATTTTACTTCAACATTTGTTGTTGAATCTAGTTAAGGTAAACCATGTGGGCTGAATTAAGCTAGAGTGTTTTGTTTAGGAGTCTTAGATTTCTTCTAAGTATTATCCTATTTGAGGATAAGTCATTTATATAAGGTTTTCAAGATTTTATATAGAGTCAAATAAATCAAATGAGGATAAGTCATTTATATAAGGTTTTCTAGATTTTACATAGAGTCAAATAAATCAAATACTCTTCTAACTCTACTCCTACGAGATATAAGATTAGAGAGTCCTAGTTGGTCTTCTTTTGTGCTTTGTGACCGAGGTTGCTACTCTATAAATAGGGGACAAGGCCTATGGTTCAAGGTACCCGTGTGTGATCATTTTGAGTCTTCTCTAATGAGAGTTTTTCCTTTGAGGAATTTTTGTTAAATGGTGTGTCCATTTCTCATTGTCAAGTATGATTTAACCAAGAGGGTTTTCATCTTGTTTTGGATCTTTTGATCTTGCAGAAACCGTTCTTTTTCAAGTTTGATTCTTGATAGAATTATTTTAAAACTAAACTTCTTATTTTCATACTGCTTCTAGTAGTTCGATTGATGAGCCTTTCTTTTGGCTTGGTTTTCGAAATTCATGATGTGTGTGTTCATGAGTTCCTTTGTGGGGTTTGTCCTACTTTTGATGGATGAGTTTTACTTTGGCATAAGTATTTTGAGATAGTGTTTGTATTGCATATCTTTGTTGGTTATGAAGAGTACTAATCAATAGTATTCCTTCATAGTTGGGCATTGTTTGCTCCTACCTTTCTTGAGTCTCTTGATTGATGATTGATCGAGTATATTGAATGGTGTCTTTACTATTTTTAATGTGGGTTGTTGTTTAATTCAAATCTTTCATAGATTATGTGTTCTTTGCTTGGTTTGAGTTCAAGTGATAGAAATCCTTAGATAAACGATCGTCTTACTGTGAATTTTCTGCACTCTTTTGAGTTTCACGAGATAGACAAATTATCTTTGAACTTTCTTATTTGATAGTTGCATTAACAAAATTTACTTTATCTACGATTTTGCTATCACGAGATATTGTCGAAAAATTTGTTAGCTAGTGAGACGAACCGAAATTGATCTCCCCCTGCCAAACTTTAGCACTGGGCATTTTCCATTTTATCACGTTTCTTTAAGATATTCGCCCCTGGCTCACTATGTCCGAATTTTTTCCTTAAATATATATGAAAAAGAAAACCTGGACAAAAATAAAGCTTTCTAAAATCTTGTAGACAAAATTATATGCCCCGGATTTAGGAAATCTGAATGGGGGTAAAACTCAGATTTCGGAAATCCGACCCCTAATCAACTCGGATTATTAAAATCTGACTTTGTGTTACGTAAATCCGATATTAAGTTAATGATAAAAATTAGTGTAATTAATCTAAATCTGGATTTTATAAATCCGTTTCTATGAATAAAATATTAATTTCCGGATAGAGAAAAAATAATGTGTTGGAAAATTAAATTTGGACAGAACTCGGATTACTGAAATCTGAATCTGCTCTATTTTCTGAAAAATGGTGACTTTCAGTTGGCCACGGACTCGGATTTCCGAAATCCGAATCCTTTACAAAAAGCCTGGGTTCGGATTTCACAAATCCGAGTCTTTGTCAGAACTGAAAAAAAAAATTGGACTGATTTTCACCAGTCCCAAACCTGTTTACAGCACCAACAATAATGAAACATTGGAAAACAGGAATTTAATAACAACAAAACAATAAACGGCATTCGATTAACAACAAAACAAATCAAGTTTCATAAAAAGTTCAATACAAAAACTACTATAAATGTGCAAAATAATGAAATGTCTCATTTTTTCCATTTTCCTTTATTGTGCGCATCCGGAGTGTATTTGTTTGGGCCCGGTCGGATCCTATCTCCCCTCTTAAGATACTTGAGTATTGAACTTTGTTGTGGTTGCGACTGTCCACCAAACTGAGCCTCGATTTGGGGTTGGGATTGGGACTCCCCCATGGTGATAAATTTGACTCCCGGTTGTGGTTGCGACTGTCCATCAAACTGAGTCTCAGGTCCACCAAGGTCAAACTGAGTCTCGGGTCCACCAGCTTCTTCAAAATGAGTCTCGACCTGGATGCGCGAGCCTCGAGAGGAATGTGCTTGATCCTCATTTTGTTGACCCTCAGTTTGTTGTTGCGATGTCCGAGGGGGGATTGTGACCTTCCTCTTTCTTCCTCCTCCAATCTTATCTCTCGACCACGGTTTCGCTTTTTTACCCGGCGGAGGTTGTGAGGGCAAAAATGGATCTTCATCAACTAGGATTTGGGTATCCTCCACCTCCATCTCATCATTTGCGCCCAAGGTTAAAGTAGCATGTGTTTGATTGATGATATCGTCCAAATGCTTGTCAAGTTCTTCGTCTAGGAGATTATCATCTTCTCGTTTTTCTCTAAACCTCTCGGTACTCACGCGAATGTTGTTCAATACTTCACCCTGAAAAGAAATTGGGACGTTAATTAAGAGAGTAAAGTTCTAAAAAGATAAAAAATGAAAAAAAAAATGAAAACATAAGAAATAATAAAAGAAATCTAGAATTAACTCACATATAATTTCATGCGGCTCGAAGAAGTCTCGTATCCTTGAGGTTCATAATTACCGGGATTGGATATCAGTCTGACAGTGTTCACCATGAACCATTCATAGTACCCCTCATATACGGAACCAGGATCTCCTTCCTCCAAATCTCGTAGCACGAACTCTTCTTTCCTATTCCAATGACGGCGTACTGCGGAATGGTGATCCACCCAATTATTTCTAGGATACCCAGACATACTGTGGGCGTGATCGAGAAGGAACGCTGCATTATCTTTAATCATGGAGCGCTTGGGAACATCCTGTATGTATCCAAATTGTCTTACGACTCTGCCCGACTCGTGGGATTCCCTAATAGCCCAACAGAACATCCAACACCTAGTCGTTCAAATGGCTTGGCCTTGTGTACAGAAATCAGGGAGTCTATGGAGGACATGTGCATATGGTTGCCACCGAAACTGCACGAAAATAATTTCATTAGATGGTACAACCAAAACCAAAAGAAAGGGGTAATTGATCTCAAAGTAAATATAAATACCAAATTACAAGTACTTACATCTTCAACACGCAGACTTGTTAACTGATCTCTAAAAGGTGGAGTGCTGCTCCTTGGGGCGTCGCCGTAGGTGCACCTACATTCCCACCTTAATAAACAAAGGGGTAA